TAAACCTGACTGGTTTTCGGACCCCCCCAGACCCCCCCAATAAAGCAAAACTGCACGTTTCAGAGTGGCCTTTTATTGTGGCCAGCCTAAGGCACACCTGTGCAATAATCATGCTGTCTAATCAGCATCTTGATATGCCACACCTGTGAGGTGGGATGGATTATCTCGGCAAAGGAGAAGTGCTCACTATCACAGATCTTTTCAGATTTGTGAACAATATTTGAGAGAAATGGTTATTTTGTGTATATAGAAAATGTTTTAGATCTTTCAGTTCATCTCATGAAAAATGGGAGCAAAAACAAAAGTGTTGCATTTATATTTTTGTTCAGTGTATATATGTTTTGAATTTTCACATCAATTCAAAAAAGTTGAGTGGTTAGAATCCAACCCCTGTATTTTAACTTTCAAATAAAAACTTCAGAGAATATTAGAGATAAAAAACATTGGAGATAATAATGACGCAGCAATGATTTTGTGATATGAGGGAAATGTGTGTGTTGGGTTTGACTGTTCAAGCAGCTGCTCTGTTTTTGTTTTCTCTCTCTTCTCTACAGCATTCTCTCCAGCCATGGAAAATCATATCTCCTCCCCCATCAACAGTGGCACTCTGGAGTACAAGTCTGGCCTCCCCCCCATCTCCCCTGGGAGTTATTCCCCCCTCCCTAAGCACTTACTTGGGGAAGAGGATATAAACAGGTTGGATGGTTTTTCCTTTTTACGGTAATTACCTCCCTTTCCTACCAGACGACTACAAAGGTAGAAACCCCCCCCCCCCTGTCCTGACTGATCTGTGTTTGTGTGGCACTTCAATTGAAACCCCATTCTGAGTTCTGGTGCAATTAGAAAACATGTGCATGTTGTGTTGGAATCACCTGTTTTTTATTTGAAAATATAGTTTTGGTACCCCTGATTCCCAATCAAGATGTTGTATTGAACAGTCCCCAGGAACAGCTTCTTATAACCGCCGCTCCCTGTCCTGGGTTCTGTGTATGTGTCTGAATGTCTCTATGATTCCTTTCTAGACAATGTGTTGTGAGTGGCAATGTGACAAATGCCTAGAAAACATTGAATCCAGCTTTAAAATAAAAACACAACAGAGCCATGGGACTCTAAAGTGTGCTGTTGTTGGGGTCCAAGCTGTGGTTTAAAAAAGGTTTTGTTAAAGCTACTTATCAGAGGAAATGATTTAGTCATGGTAAATGTTGCCTTACAGCAGTTCCATCATTGCACAAGGACAGGTTGAACGTGATGTGCAAGACACAGGTGGGCTTTGGTGTGTCACGAGTGCCTTGTTATATCTTTTCCAGGGATTAGTTGAGCTTTTTGGCTTGTGAAAAAACAGAAGCAAATATGACAAGTTAATATGTTACTTTTGCATAGATAAGCTTGCTCATTAATAGGGTACATTTCTACAACCGCTATTTCTAGAAAGCAGTGCAGTAAAGTGACGTAAGACTGCATGGTCAGAGCCAAGAGTGCATTCATGTGTGTGTAGAAAAAACTACAAGCAGCATAAGGCAGCAGTGAGGAATTCAAACTATGGGAGAATTGTTCAAAAGATTGTTCTAAGAGCTGTAAAGTGTCTTACCCAACACAGTGCTGCAAATCCTTACCAATACATACAAATGTAAATGTAAGGCTTTTAGTGATGTTAAACGTTAGTTATGTATAAACAGTGGAATGGAATTGTAACCCAGTCTTGGATAACATGGGCTCTGAAAATGTTGGTTTATAATTTGGCAGACCAAAATATCTGCTGTGTTTACTGCTCCCAGTCCCAACAGAAGACCTTAAGACGTCTCCACAGAGTCACAGCCAAACATTAGCAGCTCCACCTCAGCTGCCCTAACCCCTAATCCACATTAAGCCGCCACACGGCTCACCCCCAAGTTGGCCAAATGTCCTATCAAGGCAAATCTCAAGAGAAATGCTTGTTTATATAAATATGAATTGTATTTGAAAGAAGATTGGCAAACCGAAGCATATATTTGTAGGCAGCACAACAAGGATATGGTGGCTATCATAATGAACAAGTAAATACATCACTTGTTAGTGCTGCTCTGTGGGATTAGGTCATTGTTGCGTGCTGTGGCAATCGTTTTCTTGTGTTGTCATACCGCAAAATAAAGAGCGGTGATGGAATGCTGCAGCATAGTGATAACAAAAGCCCATTTCAGAGGATAACTGAAGGACCCCTGTATTAAACTTTGTTGAGTGAGGGATTAGCCCTCCATTCTCTTTGGAGTTAAGAGGTTTACTACTCGCTCTTGGCCAAGGTTCTTGAGATTACCTTGCTGACCTACAGTGAAGCACTCTGACAGCGGCTCTTGTTCACCGTGTTCTCCACACACAGTTAGAACACACATTGTGATAAAGCCAGATGGATCTTCACTCCCTGTTATAACTGATAAAGCAACTCCAGTATTTTATCACTAATGTGACAAGTAAAACACCAAAGCTCAGAAAGGGAAGAGGGCCGAAACGTCTGGGTCATGAGTTAGAGCAGTACATCTGACCAAACCTCCATGGCACCTTCGGATCTTCACAAGGTTGCTGCGTTTGGGTCTGATCTGAACTGACTGGCTGCCTCAGCTGATTCAGCAGGAGAAAAAAGCCAACTGTCCAGACCTCTCCGGCTCCTGTGTTTCCTGTGACTGTCACACTCAATTCTCCTTTGATGGCACTGCGATGTTGGTCACTAATGTAATTGGCTTTTTGTCATTCATTTTTTGAGATGCTGAAATGCTAAGAAGGACTGTAGATGTTGATTTCCTTCTTTAGCTATAGTCACTGCGATATCGTTCTTTAAATGTGTGCTCCAATAATTGAAGGAGTCCCTAAATGTTTAGGCTTCAGTAGAGTATTATACGACAGACAGACAGACATACAAAGATACACTGAATTCAGGTGAATCATTTCATTTGAAGTGATTTATTAGATTGTGATTTTGGTGGCTACAAATTGATGACCTTTTTAAAACTGAATGCTCCAGTTTACACTTGAGTGCTCACAAACAGCAGACATGCACACACTGAGCATGAACCGGCAATGAATGTGTGCAGTAGGTTACTTAACTAACACCCGACACTGATGTGTGCTGATGTTGTTGTGGAAGAATCTCCGATTCACTTGCTTTAAGGGCGTTACTTTTCTGTTTCAGCTATCTCTATTTTGTGTGTGCCGCATGCCCCAAAGTCTGTCTTTCATCAGTGTCAATTTATGAACAAAAATGAATGAGCCCTATTTTTATTTGATTAGAAATGGCTCGCTAGATGACGGCGAGGGTCACAGCTTTGATTGCCAGCACTTCCAGTTAAGGTGAGATATGGATAGTGCTCACTCACAATCTGCCCTGCATGTCCCATTAGCATGCTATTGGTCGAAAGGAATTGATGGAAATAGAAAACACATCATGATTTGACTTTTTGAGGATGAGCCACTTGTCGTTTTGAGCAACAGAACGTTTGCAGAACTGGGGATCAATCCAAAGAACAAACTATAAAACAGTTACAGACCATGGTTATGTGGCTCCGCAGCCAGTGGGAGCATGTTAGTGCTCTGAGAGCTCTATAGGAACACACGCCCCACCAGGCAGCTGGCCCGGGGCTAGCTGTTAGCATGCTAGTTTCAGAGGATATCTGACTCAGTGCAACACACTGTAACATCTTCACAACCTGTTGATAATGCTAATTGTGTTATAAATATATTGTACATTTAAATCCTAACCATATCTTACACTACTTTTAACCTAAGTAGATGATATGTAATAGCCCCTTGATCAGCCCGCTACATATTTGTACATATCCAAAATGAATGAATTAAAAACCATAAATCATTTAAGCTTTAATACCAATATGTGACATAATAAAACTATTTTATTAACCATATCAAAAAAACAATTACATCATTGAATAGGCTTTTGTAATTAATTGAAGTCATTTGTCAAGCATATAATTCTAAACATTTCCAGGTTGCAGCTTCTCAAACTAAAGGATTTTATTTAAAGACACGGTTGTGGGAAATCACAGATTAGCGGATAATGAAAATAAGTCATTCATTATATAAGGATATCTGGTGAGTATACTATTGATCGTGAGTTTTTATATAAAGCATGTTCTCTCTGACTAAGTGCTTAACCAGAAAGAACCAAATACCATTTACAACAAACAACACACTCTCCACTGCGTCCCATACACAAAGTGAGATAACATCCTGTAGCGAAGGCCGTCCTCCTCCTCCTCCTCCTCCTCCTCCTCCTCCTCCTCCCTGTTACTGATGATGACTTTTCCAATGGAGCACACACAAAGTATATCACATATAATGCTTTGATTCTATTTTCTTCCTGGTTTTCATCTGTGTGCCTCCATTGTATGTATCACAGACCCTCTACCACGCCCTGTCTCTGGACACTAACCTTATTGCTCTTGTCTCTCACTCCACTGTAGGCCTCCTGAACCAGTTTACAGCACTGTGAACAAACTATGTGACAAAGCACCCTCCCCCCGACACTATTCCCCAGTGGAGTGCGACAAAAGCCTCCTCCACTCCGCCCCCCTCCCATATCAGTTAAGCCTGTTCCCTGACTCAGACATCACCAGGTATTTCACACCTCCACCAAATCTGTTCCTGTATTTAAACGGCATGTTACCATTTCCTCGTGCACAGCTTGGCCTGCTCTCACTGCCTGCCTACGTTTGGCTTCCACAATGTATGAATTGAAAGCAGCACAATTCAACTTCAGTAACTACCTCCAGCACTGCTGCACAACCAATACTAAAAATCACTTACAAGCAATTCGTAGATGTTGTGCATTTATAGCCGAATGTATTGCTCACTTATGTCTATGCTCTTTTTGAAGTAATCAGATTTGAATCATGTATCAGTGTAATCAGGGGCTCCGCCAGGGATTTTGGGCCCCATGAAAAGATATCACACTGGGCCCCACCACCAGGCCCAGGCCATGCCAACCAAGCACAATTGCTGTAACCACACCTCCAGAACCCAACTGACTAATTTATGCTTTAAATAACTCTACCTCTACAGGCTTGCATCTATCTTGTAGTCCAATCACGGAAGATTTTTTTTTAAATATTGAAGTTAAAAGCATCAATCTGGTATACTTACAAATTAATAATAAAGAGGTATCACCATGGGAGGGTGGAAAAGCAGTTATTAGAGGGAAAATACTTGAAATAACATCTAGGCTGAGAAAGGCTCGTCTGGAACAGCAAAAAAGTTTGGAGAGTAAAATTTGAGAATTGGAGGGAGAACATAAAAGAACATCCAACAATAGCACCTTACTTGAACTAAAAAGAAACAGATGTAAATTGGATGAACTTCTGACATACAAAGCAGAAGGAGCTCTACGTTTTACAAAACAGAGATACTATGAAATGGGCAACAGAGCAAGTCGCCTTCTCACATTCCAACTCAGAAAGGCCCAGACAATTAGGATCATCTCTAAAATAAGACACCCTAATTCTAAACAAATTTTGGCAAACCCATCAGAGATAGCAGGAGCATTTGCAGATTATTATGAAAAGCTATATGATGACTCAGACTCTAAGTTTACAGAATCCAAAACACAACAATTTCTTCATAGATTACATTTACCATCATTAACAAAGGAGGAGGCATCTAAAATGATACAGCCAATTTCATTGCAGGAAATATCTGACACTATAAAAACTTTGAAAAATAACAAATCCCCTGGTACAGACGGGTTTCCAGGTGAATTTTATAAATGTCTAAAAGAAGAGATTACACCAATATTATTTAAAGTTTTTAATTATGCTCTATCTTCAGGTAATCCACCGAAAACTTGGTCTGAAGCCATTATATCTGTCCTACATAAGGAGGGCAAAGATCCGACTTCATGTGAGGGATATAGGCCAATTAGCTTGCTTTGTAACGATCTAAAAATATTGACGAACATATTGGCTCGGAGAATGCAAAGATGTATAACCAAACTTATCAAACCGGATCAAACAGGTTTTATCCCATGTAGGCAAGGGGCTAATAATATTAGGAGAACATTAAATCTCATATCATGTACTAAAAACAATCCTCAGCCAACCATGTTACTAAGCTTAGATGCACAAAAAGCTTTTGATCGGGTCAAGTGGAGCTTTTTATACAACACACTGGATGCTTTTGGGTTTCAATCGACCTTCATAGATTGGATAAAAATGGTTTACAGCTGTCCAAAATCACGTATTAGAGTAAATGGTTGTTGCTCAGATTTTTTTAACCTTAAAAGAGGAGTTAGGCAAGGAGATTGTTTAAGTCCGTTACTATTTGCCGCAAGTATCGAACCGTTGGCTGAATTAATTAGAAAAAATAAAGACATAAAAGGAATAAGAGACAAGGGGGGAGAAGAACAACATTTCATTATTCACGGACGATATATTATAAGTGAGCCTTCCTCATCTATTCCAGCTTTGTTGAACAATCTTAATGAATACGGGGAGATATCAGGTTATTTGACCAATGAAGCAAAATCTGTAGCTATGTATGATGATCTCAGGTGACCGTCCAGGAGGGTTGGAGGGTCAGGTTACATTTAAATGGGCCACAAAAGGATTCAAATATTTGGGTATTAATATTACTCCTGTCACATCTCAGCTATTTGAGGCAAACTATGGGAAACTGATAAATGAGATAAAAAAAGATGTTGACAGGTGGGGAATTCTACCTCTTAATCTAACGGGAAGAATAGAAACGGTTAGGATGAATATACTGCCAAGACTTTTATTCCTGTTCCAGTCATTGCCTATTGTGATCCCTAAATCTATTTTTTAATTACTGGACAAAATAATATCAAAATTCCTGTGGCAAAATAAAAAACAGATAATTAAATATAAGACACTTCTATGTACAAAAGAGAATGGAGGGTTTAATCTACCTAATTTAAAATATTACTATTGGGCAGCACAAATTAGAGCAATGATTATGTGGATAAGTGAAGACACGGAAATAATTTGGGTTGATATGGAACAAAAGTCATGTACTGTAATAATGTACCTGTGGGAGCACTTCAATTTTTTGACAGAAAAGGCACAGAAGGGGTTGGGGACTTGCAATGAGTGGATCAGGGCTACGATGAAGATATGGTCAGAGGTACGAAAGGAATTAAAGCTGTCAAACTCTATTAGCAGGGCCACTAAAATAGCTACAAACCCAGATTTTTTACCATCTATTATGGACTCAGGATTTAAAACATGGGGTAATAAGGGGTTAATATATATTACACAACTCTTTACTGGACAAACCATTAAATAATTTGAACAACTGAAACAGGAATTTAACCTACCATCCTGTGACTTTTATAGATTCCTGCAACTGAGACATTACCATCAGAAGCATAAGGAATGGGAAAACATTCGCAAAGCCCCATCTAAACTAGAGGAACTGTTAATGACATATACAGGGGACGAGACAAAAAAAGGGGCTATATCAAAACTTTACAAGGTACTACATTATGAATGTAACAGCAACAATAAGGATGTCAAAGAAAAATGGGAGTTGGAAGCGAATATTATAATATGCGGCCGACG